TTGTCTGTAAGTTTTATTACATATAATACAGCTTGTCTGTAAGTTTTATTACATATAATACAGCTTGTCTGTAAGTTTTATTACATATAATACAGCTTGTCTGTAAGTTTTATTACATATAATACAGCTTGTCTGTAAGTTTTATTACATATAATACAGCTTGTCTGTAAGTTTTATTACATATAATACAGCTTGTCTGTAAGTTTTATTACATATAATACAGCTTGTCTGTAAGTTTTATTACATATAATACAGCTTGTCTGTAAGTTTTATTACATATAATACAGCTTGTCTGTAAGTTTTATTACATATAATACAGCTTGTCTGTAAGTTTTATTACATATAATACAGCTTGTCTGTAAGTTTTATTACATATAATACAGCTTGTCTGTAAGTTTTATTACATATAATACAGCTTGTCTGTAAGTTTTATTACATATAATACAGCTTGTCTGTAAGTTTTATTACATATAATACAGCTTGTCTGTAAGTTTTATTACATATAATACAGCTTGTCTGTAAGTTTTATTACATATAATACAGCTTGTCTGTAAGTTTTATTACATATAATACAGCTTGTCTGTAAGTTTTATTACATATAATACTGCTTGTCTGTAAGTTTTATTACATATAATACAGCTTGTCTGTAAGTTTTATTACATATAATACACCTTGACACGGAAGACAATTTACAAGTGTTAAGGTCATCATCATTTCATTTGCGAAGATTTTATTTATTTGCGCGATATCAGTACTGACGATTACGAATATACTCACTAAAGTGTTTTATGGTTTAATTATCAGTATCCTCTTTTAGATCGTGACATTACTTAGACTTTACTTAGATTGACTTGACGGGTGTCGTCAATGATAATGATAACTGTTACCCCTTTAGTTGACATGGGATCATTTTCCTTGAATTATTTCAAGGTTGTCAGTATGAATATCTCCTTTGATGAAGTATGGGTAATGAACTGCTTTTGGCAACAAGATAACTAATATCATTATAGATATACTTACCAACCGACTTCTTTTTGCTCTTAATTTCTTTGAGTTCACTGACAGCAGAATCGAGCTCGTCTGTCTTCGTTCCTGCATAGAAACATACTGAGTGTTTAAGGTGTGTTATTCATTACATAATGTGACAATAGTCTCTTCTTTATTTTAGAGATACCAAGAATTAAAGAAACTCTCATGAAGAAACGGAATTTAATAATAATAAAAGTAATGTTCTAGACATTAATATTTTCATAACACAGTTCGTGTAGTTTAATGTATTTAGGCAAAGCACATTCAAATAGATATTGCAAAAAAAACAGACAAGTCCTGCAGTAAACAACACTTGATAGGACATTGTTTTTCAAAATTATTGAAACATAAACACCATAACCTAAGTAAATGTACATTTTCGAAACTTACGCAGGTCTATTTGTAACCTGTCAATGTAACATTGGAATCCAGATATTATCGACAAGATGTCATCCTTTTCGTCAGGTAAAGGTGTCATCTGCTCCGTTAATATTTTGCGTATGTCTTGCTTCTCCCGTTGAAGTGTTTGCGCTAAAGTTTCGAGTCGGTCTTTGGACTGTGTCACAGTAGCGATGTCCTTCTCTAAGCTGCTTATTTGTAAGTCCGATTTCGCTATGTCTGTTTTTAATGTATCAATTGCTCTTGTGGAACTCTCGATTTCTATGACGTGTTGGACAATTTCCTTTCCCAATTGTTGATTTTGTTCTTGATTCTGTTCTATTTCTTTTCGTGCTGATTTCATTTCCTCTTGGGTTGCACCTTTTGGGAAAATTGAAGTAAACTAGATCGGTTACTTATCGTAGGTTTTGATTACTTGTTCATTTCTTCCAAACATTAACAATATATGAGACACTAGGAATAAGTCAGCTTTGAAGGCAAAAGATAAGATATTAAATGAAAATTTTCATCCTTACTACCATATATATGTAGGAATGTAAAGTGATGCTGTATGTACAATAATTCCATGAATTAAGAATAACAACTAGCCGTGAAACTTATTGAACTTATAACTTCGTTCTACGTAGTAAATTGTACGTAAACATAAACCATTGTTAACCTAATTAAAACTACGATAATATGGCATAAACACTGTTTAACAAAATAAGGTCGGAATTTATTATTGACTCTACTTAATCACGTTAAAAAGTAATATAAAACCACCCTGTTGATGCTAGTTAAATAGTCAAATACCATCACCCTGTTAATACTAGTTAAATAGTAAGATACAGTCACCCTGTAATACTAGTTAAATAGTAAGATACAATCACCCTGTAATACTAGTTAAATAATAAGATAAAATCACCCTGTAATAGTAGTTAAATACAATCAAATAACAGCACCATATTAATACTATTTAAATAGTAAGATAGCATCACCCTTTAATACTAGTTAAATAGTAAGATAATACCACCCTGTAATACTAGTTAAATAGCAAGATATCATCACCCTGTTAATTCTAGTGAAATAGTAAGAAAACATCACCCTGTTTATCCTAGTGAAATAGTAAGATAACATCACCCTGTTAATACTAGTTCAATATAAGCAAATAGTATCACCCTGTTAATACAAGTTAAATAGTAATATAGCATCACACTGTTAATACTAGTTAAATAGTTTGATAATATTGACTCTTTTTAACCTAGTTGAACAACTCGAATGGAACTTTGATCAAAAGGAACATACTCAAATCGCTTCTAAGCCTGACGTTATCTTGTTGTAGAACGGAAACATTGGATGAGAGGTTTTCTTTCATCTCCCGGAGATCGGTGACTTGTTTAGTAAGCTCCTCGTTTTCCTTTTCTATAGTCTTGGCAATCTTTTCGAGTTCATTCTTAGATTGGGACAATGTCGTCGCGGTTTTTTTCAATTGTTTTATCTCCTCAGCGGAATCGGAGCATTCTTTGACGTAACTAGTATTTTCGTCTTGAAGTTGTCTCAATTGCTCATTGAAGCTATCTTCCATTTCTTGCTTTTCCTTTTCCAGTACCTTTGATAACATCTCAAGTTCTTTTTTTGTTTGGGACAAACTGGTTAACTTTTCATTTAAAGTTTCGATTTGATATGCTGATGTCGTCACTTCTGTTTTTAATTTATTAATTTCTTCCGTAGCATTCTGGATTTGGTTGGTATAGCTTGTAGTTTCGTTTTGGAGTTGTCTCATTTGCTCATTTAAGGAATCTTCCATTTCTTGCCTTTCCTTTGCTTGTTCCGTTGATGTCATTTCGAGATCGTGATTTGTTTTAGACAAACTGGTTATCTTTTCAGTCATTTCTGTATTTAATCTATTAATTTCTTCCGTAGCATTCTGGATTTCGCTGGCGTAATTTGTATTTTCGTCTTGGATTTGTCTCATTTGCTCATTTACGGAATCTTCCATTCCTAGCTTCTCCATTGTTAGTGTCTTTGCTGTCAATTCCAGGTCATTCTTAGTTTTGGCCATTGTAGTAAACTTTTTATTTAAAGTTTCGTTTTCATTTTCTAGCGTTGTCAATTTTCTTTTCAAATTTGTTATCTCCTCCGCAGAATTTGAGATTTCTTCAGAGTATCTCGCGTTTTCATCTTGCAATTCTGTCACTTGTTTCTTCATGCTGTTTTGCATTTCGGGATCAAAGTATGCTTGTGATGTCTCGAACCGTTTTGTTTGTGTCTCTGATTTCTCAAATTGATTTTGAAATACTCTTTCATCTTCTGCTGAATTGGTCATTTTTTTCACGTATTTTGCATTTTCCTTTTCAATGAGATCCTCTTCCTCTTCCAAGTTGGGGATACCGATGTTTGTTTCTTCACGAACTGGTTTAAGTTCTTCAATCTCTTTACCTACATAACATACAGCAATCGCGGTTATTTTAACCATTACATATTTATAAAAAAGAAAATGGAAGGTTGATGTAACGTTATGCAAAAAAATATCCATATTCATGGGAATTAATCTGATGTATTGAGATTTTATTTTATACTTGCCGCCCGAAATGACACTAAAATACGTTCATAGCAAATCGAACATCTAATAACTTGTTAGTACTTACCTTGGTTTCTCTGCAGTTCGGCAATGATTGTTGACAATGTTTCATTTTCCTGTCTTAGTTGTAAAACTTCTTTGTCTTCTCTTCCCCGTTTGCCTGTTTCACTCGTAGTCGCGTGTACATGCCGATTTTTCTCAACGTCGGATGCAGACGGTGAAACCGTTGTTTCTATCAGTCTGTCAAGAGCTTTCTTTTGTGCATCTAATTGAGTCTGGAGGAATACAATCTTGTTTACGAGACAAGTGTTTTCATTTGCTAATTTACTTCCCTCTCTCGTGCGCTCCTCTATCTTCGTCTGTTGCTCATCCTTTTCCGCTTCCATCAATTTAAGTCTATTTCTCTCTTCGTTTTCGTTTAACTCCTTTTCAATTAGAGAAACGGCGATCTCGTCTCTTTCTATCTCTGCAGTTTTGGCATTTTCCTCGGCATCACGAAGCAATTTCTTATACTCTTCGATGGTTGCCTTTTGCTCTTCCACCTTTTTGGCATACCGATTATCATCAAAATAGTCTAGTGTCAGGCTTATGTCTGCGTCGGACACGTCCTTGTTTCTGGATTTTGATATTTCCATCTCTATCATACTGCAGGCTAGGTCACGGAGCAGCATTTGCCTTTCTGGTGGCAAATCATTAATCAGATTGCGCTTCCTAGATGGTGTCTCACCGAGGATTTTCTTGACTTTAGACTTGCATCTTGAACAAACTTTGTTATAGAGCGATATTTTTATGTCGTCCAATCTGTCATGAATGTTCTTTACTTGCAGCCAAGCAGCATCTCCGAGAGTCCTCTGACTTACAATATTCTCTTGGACAATCTGTAATGTAGTATATTCCGTATGAATCAGATAACATACATGAATCCTACAACCTATATTCTTTTCATAAATAAAGTCTTATCACGAAAAGATATTTCTAACATTGAATACAAATCAAACATATAAATCTGCTCTGTTTATTGTTATGCTATTGTTAAAAACAAATAACGAACGCGAACACGTACATAGCGCTACACTTATCTTTGACATGCAATTCAAGGGTGATTACAATAAACGTATATTTAGCACATAAGAACATTTAAGGCGTTCAAATTAACTTGAAAAGCGCTGAACATTTGTTTCTGTTACAATGAATATGTTTACAGCAATTCTCAATTGACGAGTATATGATGATTTAACAGCTATTTGCAGAGTTATTTAAATATCTCAATGAAACTATCGGAACTCGCGGATGTCTTACTTTGTACGTGTATAGGTTTAGCTGAATTGATTGTTTTACACCGATCTGAAATACTTTGTTTGTATAGAGGTTTAACGTGAATTGATATAATTACAAATGTCAGAATGACTTTGCTTAATTCTTCTATTATAATAACTTTAGTCTGAATCGGTATTTTCACATCGGTATAAACTACTATACTATACTAACTAAGAGAGGTTTTGTCTGAATGACGTTTTCACATCCGTCTAAATAACCTTACCTGTAGAGGTTTGGTCTGAATGATGCTTCACACACGTCTAAATAACCTAACCTGTAGAGGTTTGGTCTGAATGATGCTTCACACACGTCTATATACCTAACCAGTAGATGTTTGGTCTGAATGGTGCTTCACCCACGTCTAAATAACCTAACCTGTAGAGGTTTGGTCTGATTGATGCTTCACACACGTCTAAATACCTAACCTGTAGATGTTTGGTCTGAATGATGTTTCACCCACGTCTAAATAACCTAACCTGTAGAGGTTTCGTCTGAATGATGCTTCACACACGTCTAAATACCTAACCTGTAGATGTTTGGTCTGAATGATGCTTCACACACGTCTAAATACCTAACCTGTAGATGTTTGGTCTGAATGATGCTTCACACACGTCTAAATACCTAACCTGTAGATGTTTGGTCTGAATGATGCTTCACACACGTCTAAATACCTAACCTGTAGATGTTTGGTCTGAATGATGCTTCACACACGTCTAAATACCTAACCTGTAGATGTTTGGTCTGAATGATGCTTCACACACGTCTAAATACCTAACCTGTAGATGTTTGGTCTGAATGATGCTTCACACACGTCTAAATACCTAACCTGTAGATGTTTGGTCTGAATGATGCTTCACACACGTCTAAATACCTAACCTGTAGATGTTTGGTCTGAATGATGCTTCACACACGTCTAAATACCTAACCTGTAGATGTTTGGTCTGAATGATGCTTCACACACGTCTAAATACCTAACCTGTAGATGTTTGGTCTGAATGATGCTTCACACACGTCTAAATACCTAACCTGTAGATGTTTGGTCTGAATGATGCTTCACACACGTCTAAATACCTAACCTGTAGATGTTTGGTCTGAATGATGCTTCACACACGTCTAAATACCTAACCTGTAGATGTTTGGTCTGAATGATGCTTCACACACGTCTAAATACCTAACCTGTAGATGTTTGGTCTGAATGATGCTTCACACACGTCTAAATACCTAACCTGTAGATGTTTGGTCTGAATGATGCTTCACACACGTCTAAATACCTAACCTGTAGATGTTTGGTCTGAATGATGCTTCACACACGTCTAAATACCTAACCTGTAGATGTTTGGTCTGAATGATGCTTCACACACGTCTAAATACCTAACCTGTAGATGTTTGGTCTGAATGATGCTTCACACACGTCTAAATACCTAACCTGTAGATGTTTGGTCTGAATGATGCTTCACACACGTCTAAATACCTAACCTGTAGATGTTTGGTCTGAATGATGCTTCACACACGTCTAAATACCTAACCTGTAGATGTTTGGTCTGAATGATGCTTCACACACGTCTAAATACCTAACCTGTAGATGTTTGGTCTGAATGATGCTTCACACACGTCTAAATACCTAACCTGTAGATGTTTGGTCTGAATGATGCTTCACACACGTCTAAATACCTAACCTGTAGATGTTTGGTCTGAATGATGCTTCACACACGTCTAAATACCTAACCTGTAGATGTTTGGTCTGAATGATGCTTCACACACGTCTAAATACCTAACCTGTAGATGTTTGGTCTGAATGATGCTTCACACACGTCTAAATACCTAACCTGTAGATGTTTGGTCTGAATGATGCTTCACACACGTCTAAATACCTAACCTGTAGATGTTTGGTCTGAATGATGCTTCACACACGTCTAAATACCTAACCTGTAGATGTTTGGTCTGAATGATGCTTCACACACGTCTAAATACCTAACCTGTAGATGTTTGGTCTGAATGATGCTTCACACACGTCTAAATACCTAACCTGTAGATGTTTGGTCTGAATGATGCTTCACACACGTCTAAATACCTAACCTGTAGATGTTTGGTCTGAATGATGCTTCACACACGTCTAAATACCTAACCTGTAGATGTTTGGTCTGAATGATGCTTCACACACGTCTAAATACCTAACCTGTAGATGTTTGGTCTGAATGATGCTTCACACACGTCTAAATACCTAACCTGTAGATGTTTGGTCTGAATGATGCTTCACACACGTCTAAATACCTAACCTGTAGAGGTTTGGTCTGAATGATGCTTCACACACGTCCAAATAACCTAACCTTTTGAGGTTTGGTCCGAATGGTGCTTCACACACGTCTAAATACCTAACCTGTAGATGTTTGATCTGAATGATGCTTCACACACGTCTAAATGCCTAACCTGTTGAGGTTTGGTTTGAATGATACTTCACACACGTCTAAATAACCTAACCTGTAGATGTTTGATCTGAATGATGCTTCACACACGTCTAAATACCTCACCCGTAGATGTTTGGTCTGAATGATGCTTCCCCCACGTCTAAATAACCTAACCTGTAGATGTTTGGTCTGAATGGTGCTTCACACACGTCTAAATACCTAACCTGTGGAGGTTAGGTCTGAATGATGCTTCACACACGTCTAAATGCCTAACCTGTTGAGGTTTGGTTTGAATGATGCTTCACACACGTCTAAATGCCTAACCTGTTGAGGTTTGGTTTGAATGATGCTACACACACGTCTAAATACCTAACCTGTAAAGGTTTGGTCTGAATGATGCTTCACACAAGTCTAAATAACCTAACCTGTAGAGGTTTGGACTGAATGATGCTTCACACACGTCTAAATAACCTAACCTGTTGAGGTTTGGTCTGAATGATGCTTCACACAAGTCTAAATAACCTAACCTGTAGAGGTTTCGTCTGAATGATGCTTCACACACGTCTAAATAACCTAACCTGTTGAGGTTTGGTCTGAATGATGCTTCACACAAGTCTAAATAACCTAACCTGTAGAGGTTTCGTCTGAATGATACTTCACACACGTCTAAATAACCTAACCTGTAGATGTTTGGTCTGAATGATGCTTCACACACGTCTAAATAACCTAACGTGTAGAGGTTTGGTCTGAATGATGCTTAACACACGTCTAAATACCTAACCTGTAGAGGTTTGTTCTGAATGATGCTTCACACACGTCTAAATGCCTAACCTGTTGAGGTTTGGTTTGAATGATACTTCACACACGTCTAAATACCTAACCTGTAGAGGTTTGGTCTGAATGCTGCTTCACACACGTCTAAATAACCTAACGTGTAGAGGTTTGGTCTGAATGATGCTTCACACACACGTATCCATAGCCTGACATAAAGAAGTATAATCTGAATGACCTTTTTTCCATCCGTCTCAATAACCTCACTTAGTTCTGGAGAGGTTAAGGCTTGATATATGTTTTCACACCTGTATGCGTTACCTGGAGAGATTTGGTGACATTTTTCAGATGCTCTGATGAGAAAAACGTCCCCATCGTGACTGTTATATCCACCTTCAGCAAACTTCCCTGTAAGTAATTTCAAACAAGAAAGCAAATATCAAACGTCCATGATACATCAGAGCGACCAATTCATAGCACAGAGTGGCCAGTATGTAGCATGAAGTGACCAATAAAGAGGACAGAATGACTAATTTTTAACACGGGGCGACCAATGCATAGCACGGAGTGACCAATATATAGCTCGTAGTAACCAATGTATCGCACGGAGTGACCAATATATAACACGGAGTGATCAAAATATAACACGGAGTGCCTAATAAATAACACGGAGTGATCAGTATATAACACACAGTGACCAATATATAACACGGAGTGACCAATATAGAGTACGGAGTGACCACCACAGACCATAAGATTACCGATTTATAGCACGGAGTAATCAGTATATAACACGGAGTGCCTAATATATAAGAAGGATTGACCAATATACAACACGAAGAGACCAATATATAACACGGAGTGACCAATATATAACAAGGATTGACCAATATATAACACGTAGAGACCAATATATAACACGTAGAGACCAATATATAACACAGAGTGACCAATATATAACACGTGGAGACCAATATATAACACAGAGTGACCAATATATAACACGTAGAGACCAATATATAACACGTAGAGACCAATATATAACACAGAGTGACCAATATATAACACGTAGAGACCAATATATAACACAGAGTGACCAATATATAACACGTAGAGACCAATATATAACACGTAGAGACCAATATATAACACAGAGTGACCAATATATAACACGTAGAGACCAATATATAACACAGAGTGACCAATATATAACACGTAGAGACCAATATATAACACAGAGTGACCAATATATAACACGTAGAGACCAATATATAACACAGAGTGACCAATATATAACACGTAGAGACCAATATATAACACGTAGAGACCAATATATAACACAGAGTGACCAATATATAACACGTAGAGACCAATATATAACACAGAGTGACCAATATATAACACGGAGTGACCAATATATAACACAGAGTGACCAATATATAACACGGAGAGACCAATATATAACACAGAGTGACCAATATATAACACGTAGAGACCAATATATAACACGTAGAGACCAATATATAACACGTAGAGACCAATATATAACACAGAGTGACCAATATATAACACGTAGAGACCAATATATAACACAGAGTGACCAATATATAACACGGAGTGACCAATATATAACACGTAGAGACCAATATATAACACGTAGAGACCAATATATAACACATAGAGACCAATATATAACACGGAGTGACCAATATATAACACATAGAGTCCAATATATAACACGTAGAGACCTATATATAACACGTAGAGACCAATATATAACACGTAGAGACCTATATATAAGACATGGTAATCAGTATAAAAAATGGATTGACCAATGTATAACACGGAATGACCAATATAAAACACGGAGTGACCAATATATAACACGAAGTAATCAGTATATTACAGGGAGTGACCAATATATAACACGAAGTGACCAATATATAAAACGTAGAGACCAATATATAACACGTAGACCCCAATATATAACACAGAGTAATCAGTATATAAAATGGATTGACCAGTGTATAACACGGAATGAAAACAATACAACATGGAGTGACCAATATATAGCACGGAGTGACCAATAAATAACACGGAGTGACCATTATAAAACAAGAGTCATTAGTATATACCACGGAGTGATTAAAATATAACACGGAGTGATTAGTATATAACACGGAGTGATCAAAATATAACACGGAATGACCAATTTACAACACGGAGAGACCAATATATAACGCAGAGTAATCAGTATATAACAGAGATTGACCAATGTATAACACAGAATGATGAATATATAGCACGGAGTGACCAATATATAACAAGGAGTGACCAATATATAATACGGAGTGATTAAAACATAGCACGGAGTGACCAATAAATAACACGGAGTGACCAATATATAGCACGGAGTGACCAATAAATAACAAGGAGTGACCCATATATAACACAGAACGATGAATATATAGCACGGAGTGACCAATAAATAACAAGGAGTGACCAATTCATAACACGGATTGATCAGTATATTACACGGAGTGACCAATATGTAACACAGAGTGATTAAAATATAACACGGAGTGACCAATATGTAACACAGAGTGATTAGTATCTAGCATTGTTTTGGCCTTATTTTGTTTAAGGTCCTATTTACAGCTAAGGTAATTGAAGGTGTGACAGAGTGACCAATACATAACACGGTGTTACAAATTTATAAGACGGAGTGAGCAATATAGAGCACAGATCGAGTGACCAGTATTTAGCACAGAGTGACAAATTTATAAGACGGAGTGACCAATATATAGCACAGAGTGGCGAATAATAGCACGGAGTGATTGATTAATAGAACGTACGGAGTGACCAATATAGAGCGCGGAATGTTACGGAGTCATGGCATGGAAAGACCATGCCAAAAGAAAAAAATGACAGATAAGCCGAAGTGTTGTTATGTAAGATGTTATAAGTCAGAAATAATGCTAATAAAATACACCCATTATATGATTTAGTTGTGCACAGAACAAATTTGTGCTGACCGTTCCACGGGAGGTAACTCGTAATTTCGATAGCGTTTTATTTTGTTTCCGAGCACTTCGCCATTTTGAACGTCAATGTTCCTTCGTATCCAAACCTTAATTTGAATCCTGTAGAACCTGCATTATTAACCAATCGAAAACAACTCAGCATTCAGTCTGCATGGATATGTCAAATCGATGAATCCTAAAACGATCTAAAACAATCTGCTCTAATAAAATTTGAGTTCTTTGCTGGAAAACCTTGAGGGAGTTCGTACGAGGGACGACATATAATGTACAATGAAGAAACGCGTGTAACAACACTTAATACTTAATAAAATGATCTTAAGTAAGTCTACAAACTACACATGCAACTGCATCCATTTAAAACATTTTCACATTTCAAATTGTTCTTGGTGCAAACTGTTTGTCCAGGTGGCAGTAAAAATGTACCTAAGGTTGGTTATAACTGAACCGATATAACGTTATTGTATAAGAAAACCTAATATTCAATATATATGTAAAATCGTATGAGCGTCATACAACATGCCCGACTTATAACAAACTCGGTGGAGCGAAGAGGACACAGATTTCTTCTTACGTATGCATATAACGATACGATAAATGCAATCTGATTAAAATCATATCCTACGTATCACGTTTGGATATGATTTTAATCAGGTTGCGATAAATGTAACTGAAATTAAATATTTAGAATTACATGGAAGCAAAACATACCTTTTACACGATACCTGAACACATCTAAACTGCGTAAGACTTAGTAGTAACTGGGAACGAAGGTCGTAACGATAAACCACTTCAACCTGTAAACACATGTATGGTGAAACCCGTACTTTCGTTTTGTGTATATAATATACACAGAATTAATTTATGGGTTTTATTTTCAGTTCTAAATTAAGAAATCGGAAAATCCGTGTATGCGAACTGTATTGCAACTCCGAAGACTGAAACAAATCCTGTCCTGTGGTCTTTTCATCGAACGAAAGAGTAAGGTATGTGTTTTGTACAAACGTTTTATCGCGATAATTGCCAGGTTTAGCGGATTGATACAGTAGACTGTTCATATATATGCGAATTGTATCACAACTCCTCATAAAAGAGAAACAAAACCTGTCCTATGTTCTCTCCATCGAATAAAAGCTACTAGTTTTTCTTGCTATACGGTTTTATCGCGATATGTGCTAGGTTTAGCGGATTGATGTAGTACATTGCTCATTGATTAACTTCTAATTTGGAAGTGAAAGTAACATTGTTGTTGTTAGTAACATAAATAGCAATTTAAATTGGGTTTTTTGTTGTGTTCCTTTTTCAGTTGTACCGTGTGCTGTTCAACGATCTTTAAGTTTCCTCTCGCCTTTTATTCTATATGTATCCTTGATTCCAATGACTCCATTGATTAATTTACTATTGCTAAAATATTCATTATTCTCAAAAATAACCGAATTACATTGATTGAATTCCTCTAATGTGGACAATAACATATATAGTTAAGATATTCATTAATAAAACTGATAAAAATACAAGTAAGCATTATTGGTATGTTATATTTCATTATCTTCCTTCAAATATCTACGACTTACCTTTAAAACAGTTTCGTTTTGGGTAGAAAATGCACTAGACACTTGTTTCGTTTTGGGTAGAAAATGCACTAGACACTCTCTTTTTGTGACAATACGGAATAGCGTTTCTCATACCTTAATATAAAGTGAGTTGGTATTCCCAGTCAGACGTTCAAGTTGGACAATCAATATAACAGATTGCGTCGACCCCCGGATGTTAGCTTTCAAACAATAAATTTTAGCTTAACAACGCTGCATTTACAAAGTGTACTCCTAAATATTTTTTATTGAACCATAAAATGTTGTTTTCCAACTTCTAAATCAATACATCACTTATATGAAACAACTAATCTCTCCCCCCTCTAAATACCCATATTATAGCACTGACTCTTAAGTGGAAGGAACCACACCCATCCCAGATTTACAGGGACCACACCCACTCTAGAGTTACAGGGATCACACCATCCCCAGATTGACAGGGATCACACTCTTCCCAGAGATACAGGGATCACACCGACCCCACAGTTACAGGGATCACACTGACCCAAAGTTACAGGGATCACACCGACCCCACAGTTACAGGGAACATACCGACCCAAAGTTACAGGGATTATACCGACCCCACAGTTCCAGGGAACATACCGACCCCTCAGTTACAGGGATCACACCGACCCCACAGTTACAGGGATCACACTGACCCTAAGTTACAGGGATCACACCGACCCCACAGTTACAGGGAACATACCGACCCCACAGTTACAGGGATCACATCAACCCAACAGTTACAGGGATCACACTGACCCACAGTTACAGGGATTATATCCAACCCAAGTGTTACCTTGATTACACAGACCTCGGAGAAACTCTTCTGTTTCTTTATACTTTAGATAAAATATATTCATCATATTAACAGCTTTGTTTTGTTATTATTGATCCCATATTTAAAAAAATGTATTGGTAATAGTGTTTAATTTATGAAAATCATTGCAAGCTATATACATCATTGTAAACTATATCTGATCAGAGGAATCATATTAACCTTATTCAAACCAAAAACAACAGCATGGTGGAGGATCATCATGATGCACAAATATTAGTTAAAATTCTCTTCGGAAAAGTTTTTTCCAACTTACAACTATTTTATGAGTTTGTTATTGTTATGTATGGAATGGAATATATTGCGTATTCTCTCCGCCATAGTACAAGATATTTGTGAAGTATTATTCAATATGTGTATTTTTATATGCCTGGAAGCAATGTGCATTTGGGAATAAATTAAATTATATTGAAATTAGTTATCATTAATTACAATCAAATATATACATGTATACCTACCGATATTGAAACGTGATTGTGACGTCACGATGTTGTCCTTTTGACATAAACCTGGACACCCTTGTAAATTGATGAGATCAGGGGTTTGTTCTAGTCGCTCGTTTGACCTTATTTTCTCTTTACTTTCCTACATGTATTTCACATGGACATTTGTTCTACCAATATATATTTATATATGATATTGCAGATCAGATAAAATTAGATATATTTCCAACGAGAAAAACACACATTGACCGATCTTATATATAACTGGATGTCGAGAAAAACACACATGGACCGATCTTATATATAACTGGATGTCGATATACGTGTGTTATCTTAAACGCGTCGACTTCTTTCAGTTAAATGACACCTCAAAGTGCGTTTTAGCCTTAATAATTAATGCATTGATAAATACTTTACTTTCGTTTTGTGAACATGTTATATACACAGAGCCTTTTGTTGGGTTTTACCTTCATTTTGCGGATGTATTACAAATAGATAAATATAGAACCTATTTGTGGGTTTTACTTTCTTTTTGTTGTTATGCTACATATAGAGCTTATTTCAAGTCCTTTTTTTTCCAGGTTCCTTATTATTTCACTTTCGTTCTATGGTTTTGCTGAATTCAGAACGTTTTGTGGGTTTTACTTTAGTGTTGTTTTTATTCCGTATACAGCCGATCATATTTGTCTCACTGCTGTTTTATGGTTAAGTTGACTTTGAAGCGTTTCCTTTTTTTCTTTTTTTTTTGTATTTTACTTTCTTTTTGATGTTATATCTTATATAGAACCCATATGTTTATTTTACTTTCGTTTCATAGTTATCTAAGACTATCTGTGGGTTTTTTTACTTTCATTTTGTGTTCGTGTTATTTTCAGAACCTACTTCTGGGTTTTGCCTGTCAGTTCTGGTTATTTGAAGCTGACACTGACTCGACCAGCGACGTAGAAGATAACTCCTTATTCTCACTTCGTCTCCCTGACAATAAGAGGTAAGTTGTGCAGGTATATGTAATAGTTATTATAAAATATTTCGTGTAATTCTACAATACAGCAGTAAAGATAATAAATGAATTTTAGTTTCATACTAGTTTGACCTGAAGAGTCTCGAAGCTTTCATTTAAGCGAGCTAGAAAAACACACTTTGGGACGACTTCAAATCCTTATCACAAATTAAGAATATATGAGCGAAGCCATTTTGTCTTTATTTAAATTGTCTTTAATGCGAGGCTACGATGCCATGACGTCATGTCTGTCTTCTGACTTAATATGACACCAGTGTATAAATTGTAAATTATATTCGTTTCCCTGTATTTATTATTATGGTTATTTTTTCTGTAACCTTTTATAGTCAACAGCTAGTAGGAATGTTTTTCTTTAGTAGCTCAGTGTAATGAATAATCGGTTAATTTCCCCTCCCTACAGACGACCCCCTACCCCCACACACACACATACACACACGGACAAGAAATCACACTCACTCATACACACACTGCCTCTCAGTGAGGGACTAACTCATCAATTATAATAATCTTAACAGAAATATGATGATAAAATGTATAAATATAGAGGTGGAAATCAAAATAGCCGTCTACTTTCATTTCAGGTATAACATTCACGCGCTAGCCCCAGTATTTCGGCTGTCGTAAAGAACTGATAAAAAGCATACATTATATAATGAGTAAGATTTTCACTATGTGTGGATCTTTGTGACGTGTGTAAACAGTTCCCCGAATGGCCGGGAACCCAGAGCAAATAATAAAAAATATATTCTTCAAAAGTATCTTAATCCAAAAATCTGGGGGAAAGATAAGTAATACAAATTGGCATCTCTCCAAATAAACCTTCGGACAGTGACGTCATACTAGAGAATGAAATTAGGAAATCACAATGAAATATTTTGGCTAAAGCACCTATTCTTCTACCGAGTAAGATACACACTAATGTCAAGTTAGGCCAAACAGATAATATGTGCGTTTCAGTTAACGTGCCTGTTGTTTAGTTTTCTAGGAGCGATACAACTTTTTTGTCGAAAAAAAATGTGTGAATTCTGATTTAATGTGTTTTGTATTCTTTTCTATGCTACATCTGGAGCTCCAGAGCCTCCTCTACTTGTACTCTATCAAAGGTTCCCATCATAAGAAATGTATCATTTGTTTTACATTTGTCTTAGTTTCATCGATTTTGAGTTCGAATTAGGATTTTGTTTACACTTCGGTAATTTCTTGTTGTTTTTTACATTCTTAATCGGAGAATTTTTATTTCAGAACTTAAACGAAAAACGAAACGGGTGAATCTTTAATCATGACAAGTCTATCAGACCAAGACAAAGACGTCCTGCAGGAGTTTATTGGCGACGGTCCCAAGTGCTTCACCAAGCTGTACAGCGCAAAGGAAAACGGGTGTTCAGCAATAGCTTTTCACCAGAGGTGTAATAACCGCGGACCGACACGTAAGGCACAAAGCATCTGTAGTATTTTGTATTATTATACCTTCTGTTAAAATCTCGTAATCTGATTGGTTGAGAAATATGTGAACATTTTCAATGTTACTTGCTCGTTATACAAAGATAAAGAAGACAGGGTGACATTCCAAAAAATATCACATGCGCCAAACGTATGCGTGCACGGTTCGTCCCAGTGCCAGGGTGTTATTCCAAAAAATGTTACATGCGCCAAACGTATTCGTGCACGGTTCGTCCCAGTGACAGGGTGTTATCAAATCACATTCATGGTTGGTTCATTCGACAACTGTTGAGATGAAGTCTTGGTTTATGTCAAATCAACACAATGACCTTTAAAAATGGTGAAGTGGTGAAACACCTAAACATGACACTCGGTATAATAAAATAAATATCACATTCATGAGAGGGCGATATTGCATATTTTCACCCCTCGGAAAGCATTGTTGACCTCGGCTTCGCCTCGGTAAACAATTCCTCCGTGGGGTGAAAATATGCAATATCGCCCTCTCATGAATGTGATATTTATATAATATTCAGAAATGCCACCACTTATATGAAAAATGAAGGTGGGGTGGGGTGGGGGTGGTGATGGGGCAGGTCCAATTGGTCAAATATTCTTATCTATGGCAATTACGTGCTGGAATTTGCTAATCAAGTAAGGTGTTTTGATCATTATGACATGGGATAGCAACAGTTGCGAACCCCTCACTGTAGAACGGCCGATTCAAAGTTACGTTACCTCGGTGGTGGTATTTTATGAATCAACATATGAGATAACATTTTAATGAATGTATCATCTCTTTCGCAGTGACCGTGGTCTACAATGAGGATGGACATGTGTACGGGGGGTACACCTCGATCAGCTGGCAGTCAACCTCCATCCAAAAGGTATACGACAAAAATGCTTTCCTCTTTTGCCTCCGAGGAGATGGCGAGGAACAGGGGAAAAAGTTTCCCATAAGGAAATACGAATCGGCCGTTGTATATGAGGAACAATTTGGACCCACCTTCGGGAGTGGTCCTGACCTGGGGGTATTTACTGGAACCATTACCAAAGAAGACGATGGCACTTTCTCTCTCAACTCCAAAATGGCCGCGGAAAGTTTTGATCACATGCCGGTGTCGTTGGGGGACCTGACCAGCACTGATATCTCCGTGGTGGATGTTGTCGTTTACAGCGTAGAAGGTAGGCACACATGACCTTGTGTAACATACGGGCGGTCACCCATCCAACTTCTGACAACGCTCCACGTTGCTGAACTAGTGAGCAGCTCCCCGGTTTATACAGCATTACCGACAAGCAAGCTTTTCAAAAGTTCTATCTTTAATTTCCAGCGATGCGGTATAACCCGGGGACCCGTTCACTAGTTCAGCAATGTCAATCGTGGTCAGTTGTTGGATGAATGACTGTCCGCACATTGCATTTGTCTATCAATTCAAGATACGAGGTGTAGACTTTATTGGTACATAACACATTGGGCGACAGCTAGAGATCTACATACATGTAGTCAAGGCGACAGCTGTATGTAGTCAAGGCGACAGCTAGAGATCTACATACATGTAGTCAAGGCGACAGTGCCTGATCTCTATATATTGTGGTACTGTATAAATGCCTAATTTTTAGAATTGTCAATTTTATGAATGCAATTAAAATGAAAATACCTTAATGATTCCACTGTAAACTTTTGTACAAACTTGCTTATTAAACGTCTTAAATGTTAATTGATATCTCAACAATTAACAAAAATAGTGTTTAAACGCTTAATGTTCACTATTTTGTAGATTTCAGGCAGAATGTCATGGCACAGCAGTGGAGAGATGAACCTAAGTTCGACAAACAGGTAGCACTAACAATTACATACTGTCCCGTGGACTTAAGTTCGACAAACAGGTAGAACTAACAATTACATACTGGCCCGTGGACCTAAGTTCGACAAACAGGTAACACTAACAATTACATACTGGCCAGTGGACCTAAGTTCGACAAACATGTAGCACTAACAATTACATACTGGCCAGTGGACCTAAGTTCGACATATAGGTAGCACTAACAATTACATACTGGCCAGTGGAACTGTCAACACTCCATTTGATCCAAATTGCACGATTTCAGCGTTTTCAGCTCATCCATACTAAAATGAAAAAGCAAATGTATGTGATCTTTATGCATGCATCCATCCTGAATACTCCAGGGGTTACGCTCATTTTCGCTCTCTTCGCCCCTTGAATATGTCATAGCAAAATTGAAGGCTAGCGGCTAGCTATTTGATTGGTCTCGGGTCAAAAACCTTAACCAATCGCTAGGCTGATACCTGTCCTTTGAAGATTACAGAGGAGTGACTCTGTAATCCAAAGCCATTAATTTTCACCGTTATGCGTTGGCGAGATCCCTTTGATGTACATCAACGGTTCAAACTAGTCTTCTTGTCTTATCAACAAGGTGACGCGCACTGAGCCTTCAAATTTGCTATGACATAATCCAGGGGTGTAGAGAGCGAAAGTGAGCGTAACCCCCTGGAGTATCGAGGATGGCATCTGACTTCTTTGCTAAAGTGCTAGTGTTTTGGTATTCTGGTTTATAAGGGTTAGCTAACATAGGTTCTCTTTTTACTTTGGTTAGTACCTGAACACTCTCTTGGACGACGTGGAATCCTATTGGCCACTGAAGGAATTTGGCGTGCCCGAGGAAGCTCTCCAGCACGTTAATATTCTCTTAATTGGACCAATCGGCGCCGGCAAATCCAGTTTCTTGAACTCTGTGGAATCTGTATTCAGGGGTCACGTGTCAATGAGTGCTGCTGCAGGAAGTAGAGGGAAAAGTGTAACGTCTATGGTAAGTGTGACGTATATGGTATGTAATTTTGCTGACGTCTATGGTATGTATGTTTGCTGACGTCTGTGGTATGTATGTTTGCTGACGTCTATTGTTTGTATGCTTGCTGACGTCAATGGTATGTATGTTTGCTGACGTCTATGGTATGTATGTTTGCTGACGTCTGTGGTATGTATGTTTGCTGACGTCTATTGTTTGTATGCTTGCTGACGTCAATGGTATGTATGTTTGCTGACGTCTATGGTATGTATGTTTGCTGACGTCTGTGGTATGTATGTTTGCTGACGTCTATTGTTTGTATGCTTGCTGACGTCAATGGTATGTATGTTTGCTGACGTCTCTGGTATGTATGTTTGCTGACGTCTATGGTATGTATGTTTGCTGACGTCTCTGGTATGTATGTTTGCTGACGTCTATGGTTTGTATGTTTGCTGACGTCTATGGTATGTATATTTGCCGACGTCAATGGTATGTTATTTTGCTGACGTCAATGGTATGTATGTTTGCTGACGTCAATGGTTTGTATGTTTGCTGACGTCTCTGGTATGTATGTTTGCTGACGTCTATGGTTTGTATATTTGCTGACGTCTATGTTATGTTTGTTTGCTGACGTCTATGGTATGTTTGTTTGCTGACGTCAATGGTTTGTATGTTTGCTGAAAACGTCAAAAGAAATATTAAAATTTGCCAAGTACCTGCACCAATTGTGCTTCATAGAAGCTGTTATTGATACTAAGCCAGATGATGAAAGTAAAATAGCAACATTTGAATAAGTTTTATTTCAAACTCTCAGTATTCATATCTTAAAGGGTTCAAAATACTGATTTTGTAGACAATCAAGTTACTTATTGAATTACTTGAAATAAAGGCTAAGTTTGTTTTGAACACAAGCAGGAATTTAAAACCTATTTCGTATGCTTTCGAAATTGCTGCTTCCTTTGTCACCCAAAGAGTTAAATGGCCAGTGTCTCGACTCTTAACCGCTGAAAACAACTCCCTAAGCCAAAGTGTGCCGAATCAGTAAAGTCAGTTGTCAAAAATCATAAAGACATATCGCTCAATAGCACTATAATACTGCAGGCAGTTTTCAATTCCATTTTGTGTCAAAACAAAATCAGCCTTTATTATTCATACCAAACTGCTTGAAAAGTATAGATTTGACTACGAAATATTGCTTGACAAGATTTTGTGTGTTACAGTATCGCCAATACCCGGTCACTGCGTCTGACAATAGACATTATCTTCACTTCCAAATGTGTGACTGCAGGGGTCTGGAAGATGGATTTAGTCTAAACAAGGACATCGAAGGCATCCTCGACGGACACGCGCCCAATAACTACATTGTATGTACAATCTTTCAACTGTCAACAAAGTTCGATAACTCTTATAGTATTCATTATATCATCATTTAGGAGCTTACTGAATTAAACATACAATCACTTTCAGACTGTATTCCTGTAACAGACGTTTCCTTCGTTTGTGTCATCCGCAGAAAACAAACGGTAGCTGTTAGCTAGTATAAGCCGTATCAGTTGTGTAGGGTGTCCAGCATTTTACCATCGTGACGTAAATTCATCTCCATTTCCGTATTACATTCTAAGACAAACGGAAATTCCCCGGTGACAAGATTTGCATATTTAAAACAATATGCATCATGGAGGAATACATTTTGACTTTTCAGATTGATGAATTTCTATTAGGTTTTATCATTTTTGTCATTTATCATTTCTAGGTGCGAATTTCAGGAACCGTCCTAGCTTGGAGCATGCACACCAGACATTGGACTTTTAAAATATGCAATGTTAAAACAAGAACTTGCATTACTAAAAATATATGACATGCAGCTATTTTGAGTAAAAACGCCTGTTATGGTTTCTTTCTGTATTTTGCTTCGGTTCCTGCAAATTAAAAAATAATAAACAAAGATTATACATAAATTTTCAGCCTATCAGAAAAAGGTGAATCTGAAAAACCTGAAAAGTCAAAATTTAGTCATCAATGTTGCATATTGCTTTTTTCAAATATGCAAATCTAGACACCGGTGAATTTCCGTCCGTGTCATAATGTAATGTAATGAATGGAAGTAATTCTACGTCACGATGGTAAACTACCGAACATGATCTCCTGCTAATGTCTTTATGAACACATCTCCCCCCGTCACTGCATCTCCATTTGTCAATACATCTTTCATTGTCTATTCTACTTTCATTTTCAATGCTTTATTAATTAGTCATTGTCTATTCTACTTTCATTTTTCAATATGTATTTTTATTAATTAGTCATTGTCTATTCTACTTTCATTTAACAGTATGTTATTCGGTTTCATTGTCATTTAAACTTTCATTTTTCAATCTTTAATTGATAAGTCAGTGTCACTTCTACTTTCATTTTACAATATGTTGTTCGTTTGACTTTGTAATTTCATTTCGTCTCCCATTGCCTCTTCGTCTTTGATCAATCACTCTCAATACTTTGTCAAAGCACCTTTTCTTTGTCTGTTCCAGTTTAACTCGTCTTCGGCATTGACGAGCAAGGCTCATGGCTACATACGGGACCCTAAGCTGAAGGATAAGATACATTGTGTGGTGTATGTGTTGGACTCTGAGAAGTACTCGGCCGAGGTCGGCATGTCATTCATGACGGAGGGAGTGAAGGAACAGATAACGGATATCATGGAAAAAGTTGACCAGAGAGGTAAGAAGTCAAATTGCAGGATTTTGTCGGGTGGTGCAGTGGATAGCTCACTCGCCTTTCACCAAGACGACTGGGGTTCGATTCCCTGATCGGACGTGAAAAGGTATATATGGGGTCACCTGCTCGACAAGTGGGTTTTCACCGGTTGCCCGGTTTCCTCCCACATTGAGACACCCCGCGCTCTAAAATCTGAGCCAAGAAGGCGATTTTCTCAACTTTGCTGCAGTATATAACACATTATACATTTAACGTGTATAATACAAAATACATGTACACTAATACACAATGTTTCATTAAAAGTATCGTGTTTCGGGATAAAGCTGGTTTCTGGTTTCTGTTTTGTCTTTAAATATAGACCTGGTCTCGAAGAGCAAGAAATTTGCTTGAATTTGGCCAATATTTTATGCTGAAATTTTCCAAGTAGCAATAACATCATAATCACATGTGGTAGTTTTGTCTGGGTTTTTTTATTATATATATTTTCATAATTATTATATCATGTGTTGTATGATATGCACCAGAAACATTTCGTCGGTTACATCACTAGGTATTTCTATATTTAGAGGATGAATATAATCGTTTAAGAATCTTCCAGGGTTTTTTTACTTGAAAAATTTCAAAACACATTTTAGAAAAATTCTCTCTTATTCAAACTCCCGCAAATAAAAAAATATATATACCTTATACAAATAGGTTAAACATATTCGATTTTATCATAAATAGGTATACCCCAGTTAATCCTACTGAACAAGATAGACAACACGTGCGCAGCCACAAAGGAAAACACTTCGGCTGTATACCGGAGCGATCTCATCAGACAGAGGTGTTTCCATGCGGCAAACTGCCTGGGACTTCCACCACTTACGGTGTTACCGATGAAGAATCACTATATGGAACTGACCACGTCCGATGAGGTCGCTATTCTGGCTCTCTATAACCTGCGGCAGATGCTTAGGTCGGCCGACGCTTACCTGCGAGTCAACTACCTGGACGAGTTGAGACAGGAGAGATACGAGTCGCAGCTCAGCTAGACGTCAACGCGAAAAGCAACATCAGCTGGAATGAAAACTCAGCTGGAACATTTCTTTATAAGTAGATTTCTGGAGTCTATAGCATGTAGATGGTGCTTGAAGCTTAAATACTGAGTATATATTTACATGTGTCGTTCATGCGAGAATTTTAAAGTATATAAATGACCAGAGAGAAGTAAAAAAGGTCTGAGTACTGTAAAAAGGATGTGCCTTAGACACATATAAGTTATGCATGATGATGATAATGCTATTAAAATCAAAAAAATGGTTTATATTATGAAACTGTGGATTGAGCGACAGTGAAGGATATTGATAGAAGTTTTTGTTCAGTAACAGGAGAAAGCTGCAACAAATAGAGCGCATATATAACTTCTTTAACTTAGTCTATGAAACAGAAAGTTGGATAGTCTCGCTCAACCAGACGCTTGATTACTTTGTAATCTCGGTTCGGAGTAGCTTGCACAGACAACAAGTCTGGTTAAACAATAATATAAAACAGAAAGTTGGATAGTCTCGCTCAACCAGACGCTTGATTACTTTGTAATCTTGATTCGGAGTAGCTTGCACAAACAACAAGTCTGGTTAAACAAGACTAAAATTAGAATAGTCCTGTTGTGGTTGGGGACAGGAAGCTTCCAAGAGGACATGTTTCGAAGATAACAGTTTATGTTGTGTAAAAGCGGCGGGGGTGAGAAGACTGTGTTATTGTATTGTATATTATATCCTAGAAGGCTCATGTCAGTCTTTAATATTTTTATGGATTTTTCGAACGTTATCCAATTCTTATTCAGTGATACCTTTAACGGTAGCATTGCTGATCTAGACAGAACAAATACGAAAGCTGTATGTGCATTTAGAAATAAACCAGTATACATTTATTCTTTTACCGTTTTTTAATGTTTTTTCGTGTGATTTAGATATTTGTGTACATTTTATATATGATAGAAAATAGAGATTCCAATGAAAAAAAGGTCCTAGGTCTCGATGATTTATACCAATGACTTGTAATTGCAAGCTCTACGATTGGTCAATAGTCGCACACGTGACCATTATAATCAGCTGTTCGTATAAGTATTAAATGGACGACATTACAAGATTTTTCAAATCCAAGCCTTGGTCCTGATCTGTGCCAGACATGACTTCAGGTTCAAGTAGTTGAAAAAGTTAAAATGGGAAAAGTCCAACATTCTATATCATATATGTTCAATAAGCCATTGTATTGTTCGAGTTGTCTCCAATAATATATAATAAGCTATTTGTATTATCTTTGTCGATTTATTTATTACTATTATTAAAATATATAAGAAATAATGTTTAAACGATTGGACTTCACCTTTTTCACAACAATTACCCTCGTTTTTTTATCGACCACTTTGTCATTCTTACAAAACAGTCAATGTTAAATAATTTGCAGATTCAGGGATAGAGCACGCGGTGCCCATGCTCCCCGCTTTTTGTTGGCTTCAACAATGTTTGTTCTCTGCTGAGTGAATCTGCCGTCTACTTTGTTGAGATATCAGTTTCCATTTTCAATGTATACATATCTGTATAAATACTATTCCTAGTCAATTCCACAATTTATTCCAGTATCTTAAACAATGTAGGGAATCACGTGACTGAAGTTGGTGATCCATGAATTTTTAAAATGTCGGCCACCAGCGGTTTTAAAGCGGTAGGAAAATGAAAAACAGTGGGGACTATTAATTTTGGTTTCAGTCCCAGATTTTGACCTCTGTTTGTTGGGCTGTTAAATGTCTTGCCTCTGTCGGAATATACCAGGCGCTAATTACAAGCTCTTGGATAACTCAGATATCGATTTCCTTTTTATTTATTTTGGTTATTGTTCCGAACAATACCACAAACACACACAAAAACGGAAAATATTAAAATTGACGAAAACTTGACGAAATACCTTTTTGGTATGTTTTTCCATAAAGTCCCAAAACTATCGGAATGCTTATATTTTCATAAAAAAAAATACGAAAGCGTGGAGCCCCCTTAGAGTGTGTTGCTCGGACCGGCCGCTTCTGCTTCTCCACCTTTTAGACCCCTAGCATCAACGATGAGTCTTAGAAAGACGAAAACAGCTGTATGGTGCAGAGTAATTCATTTTTTGGAAAATTGTATCAATTACTAAATTGTGTATGTGCAATCACACGGGAGTGTCTCGCGTTCATCTTTGGGAATTGTCTTTTTTTCTCGGGCGTATGACGTAACAAGGAGAACTGGAGCATGTTAAATGTCGTCTTCTCGAGAAGACAAAACAACTAGAATTAAGGTTCGTTAAGTCTCGTCTTTCTTTCACGTCAAATGAAATGAGTACGTTTTTTCCCAATCAATTAGGCGATGGGACATCGATGATTCTATAGAACAGCTTTCTGCATGCATGTATTATGTCGGGGCGTGTTTGGTCGGTTGTGCTACATTTATCCGTGAATGCTGAGCAATGGGTGGTCGGGTGGCGCAGTGGATAGCGCACTTGCCTTTCACCAAGGCGGCCGGGGTTCGATTTCCCGATCGGACGTAAAAAGGTATGGGGTCACCTACCCGACCACATGGGTTTTCTCCGGGTACTCTGGTTTCCTTCCACATTAAGACCCCCTGCGCGCTAACATTCCGGCTAACAAGAATGGTTAATATAAATAAAGTTTATGTTTGAAATATTGTTGAGGAATGACAAAATGTCGTTATAACCCCGGTTCCAACCAAGTACTGTGTTAAGTAATCTCAAAGAAGAGATGGACGTAAAACATACACATGGTGATTACACCTATAAAACCAATTAATAGATATATAATGTACATTATGCCAAAACTTAATTACCCTGTATCATAGTGTTGTTTCGTCCTTCTAGGACTCATCGGTGATGCAAGGCCAAAAAGGTAGAAATCAAAATAGGTCTAAACTACTGTTAAACCAGAACGAAATTTGCGTAAAAACTTTTAAATACATGATTTCAAAAGCTACAAGAATATTGGATATTTTTTAATCAATAATGATTTAAGGGTGTATATTGTGTACCTTGCCACTACTCAAGGAGATAGCTGTGGCTATCAAGGTTACGGAAAACCTTCGGGACTATATGAAACCCACTAGCAGAGTCTACCACCCTGAATCTTGAGAGATGGAAGTAAGACTCGCCTATGTTGATTGCATCTGTAGAATTTAGTTATAGATATAGTATCTCAAAAATGAATTGCACTGAACTATACAGCTAGATGAACAAAATAAGGACGTAATTAAAATCGCATTATTGCATTGCTTGCTGTAAGTTAGTGGCAGGTAAAGTAATCCGGGTACCTGCACGTTGGGTACTATTTACATGTTTTTTAGTGCTCAAATCGACCATTTGACGTCACTGCCTCTGTCACACACTCAACTTGAAGGGCAGTTACGTACACTTAGTCAGACACACGTATGTAGACGGTGTTAATAACTAAAGCATATACACGTCTGGTCCGTTTATCATTGTCGTCACTTGACCTACTTGTTTTATCGGGAAAAGAGATGTTATACATGCGCTTGTATTGTAACTGTCACGTACTTGTATGTTAATAGTACCCGTACTTGTATGTTAATAGTACCTGTACTTGTATGTTAATAGTACCTGTACTTGTGTGTTAATAGTTCCTGTACTTGTATCTGTATTCGTATGAGGTATCAGTCTGTACAAAGCACGCTAGTCAAGTGGTTTTGAGATTATTTTTGTATCTTTTCGCAGTAAGTCTTATCTACGACAAGAGCAATAATCAACATTAAACCATAATATTTATTAACTATCAAACAGTATAACGTATACTATATATCTATGATTAGTCCCTTTACAACATTCTCCCTGTCATTCATTTTTGATAAATAACCACTGACTAGATGAACACCATTACTATTTCATAACATAAAATAAACATAACCTTAAAATACCACACGGTAAACATAACCTTAAAATACCACACGGAAAACATAACCTTAAAATACCACACGGAAAACATAACCTTAAAATAGCACACGGTAATTATTACCTTAAAAATAGCACGAGGTAAACATGACCTTAAAAAAACAGCACACGGTAAACATAACCTTAAAATAGCACTCGGTTAACATAACCTATAATAACACACGGTAAACATAACCTTAAAATAGCATACGGTAAACATAATATTAACATAGCACACGGTAAACATAACATTAACATAGCGCACTGTAAACATAACCTTAAAATGGCACGCGGTAAACATAACCTTAAAATAGCACACGGTAAACATAACCTTAAAATAGCACACTGTAAACATAACCTTAAAATAGCACTCGGTAAACATAACCTTAAAATAGCACACGGTAAACATAACCTTAAAATAGCACACGGTAAACATAACCTTAAAACAGCACACGGTAAACATAACCTTAACATAAACACGTCTTGTAAATTTAACCTAACATAAACACAAAATTAACATAATCTTAACATAAACACGAATTGTAAATATAACCTTAACGTAAACACGTATTGTAAACATAACCATAACATAAATACAAAATTAACATAATCTTAAAATAGCACACAAAACATAACCTTAACATAAACACATCTTGTAAATTTAACCTAAACATAAGCACAAAATTATCATAATCTTAACATAAACACGTATTGTAAACGTAACCTTAACGTAAACACGTATTGTAAACGTAAACTTAACAACCCATTGTCGCGAATCTGTTCATGGAACACCTAGAGCATACCGCCATTAGATCGGCACCCAGATAATGCGGCCCTAAACTTTGGAAACGATATGTGGATGACATCCTAGAAATAGTTCAAACGGGAGCAGTGCAGGACCTAACAGATCACCTGAACCAAGTGGAGAAAATAAATTCCATTAAATTTACCCACGATGAGGAAAAGGACGGGACCATACCATTCTTGGACACGATCATCGTCCGCAAAGAAAACGGCACCATCAAACTATTAGTGTACCGAAAACATACACTCGTCGACAGATGCAACACAATCATCACAGAGCAGGACGATAGACACAAAGAAGAACAGCACATAAAAGAATGACGCACTCAACCGTTGTGGCTACCCCGACTGGTCAATAAATAAGGTAAAAAGAGCGGTAAAAGAAAAGACGGAAAATAGAAAACAGAGACAGAAGAATAGTAATGAGAGCCAAAACAAAAGCAAAGACTGGGTCACTATACTCTACGTGAAGGGAACATCTGAGGCGTTTGCACGGGTGATGAGGAAACACCATTTCAGCACCCCAATGAGACCACTGACAACCCTCAGACATTTACTGGTGCACCCCAATGACAAGACTGACATTTTAGACAAAACAGTTGTATATCAATTTCCATGCAAAAATTGTAAGAAGTCATATATAGGTGAAACTGGGAGGAAATTTGTTACACGTCTGAAGGAACACCAAAAGGACGTAGAGCAAAATGAGCAACTTCCCATTCACCAGATCCACACGCAAAACACCCGCCACCTAGTACAATAAATCCGATTAACACCTAACACCCAAAATCACATCGCCGATTCGGACAATGCTAAGATAGTTAAAAGGGAACAACACACAAAAAAAATGAGACAACATGAACAGGGACGAGGGGGACACCAGTTGAGTCATCTGTATGACCCGATACTGACATAATAGGGGAGGGGCGAGATCTACACCCTACCTGTAATCTATCTGATGCAGTGTGCATACGCTCCATATCGATAGGCGAAATGTCTCGGGTCGAGTGACATGCAAAATCGTCACATCGTTGAACAGGTAAATAATACAAACAGCTCATTCAGTCATAGCTTGACAAAGGCCCCAGTCGGTCTTGAAACGTTGCGACACGTTTAATACGTTCATTGTTTGTGTAAAACGTAAAACTTTGATACTCCTGTATACGCGTCTCATCCAATCAATCTGACAATTAGTCATTCAATCAATTAATAACATTTGTGTGACAAAAGTAGTTAATAATGACCCTGGGTTTTAATAAATACTTTATTTCATTTCTTTTTCATTTACAGTGTGATATAAAGCAATACACAATTGTTGAAATTGTATTTGGAAACCTTAGTATTTTATTTTTTACTTGGAATCGGGAATCGTACTATAAGTATTAACTGACCAAAGATCACATATCAGGGTTATTATCATGCTTCCTGTGTGAGTCATGTCAAGTATCAGGCTAAATTCTGTTCTTCCTGGTTTTAGTAAAAAAAAACAAAAAAACTCTTTCATAGAAATACAAACGAAAACATTTAAACCCTTGTACTTACACGGCGTTAAAATGACGACAGATAGTGCGAACTACCTAATTAACTGCCCCTTTTACCTGTGGAGAGTTCAATATCGAAGCACGCAGAGAACTGTATGTAATATACCGGTCTCAGGAGTACGTTATAAATCAAGGAGAAACAAACAGTTATTGTCGCCCTTTGGTAATGGTAATGAAAACGGCAAAAGAAGAGAGTTCCTATCCTCTACCCGCTCACACCCAACTTTCCACCAAAAAATATATAAATGAAATAATAGACGCAAAATCCAATCGTCTGCTGGAAAACGGAACACCTCTGTAGTGAACTCGAAGAGGACGTATATCACCACTCCGAACAAATAAACAAGGCAAAATCTCGCATTCTCAGCGTAATTTCTATCTGACTATTTGTCAAGATACGGTCAGAAATTTTAGAAACAAAAACAAAATATCAAAGTTTAGAAAAATCACAAAAGAATAATTACAAATTGGTGATTAAGAAAGGCGCAAATCTAAAAGGCAGTCCAGGTCACAGGTCCCTGTGGTCCGAGTGTGTGTTGAGCTTCTCGGGAACAGATCCAGGAGTTCAGAATGTAGGAGGGGGGAGGATTCTCAACAATGTCTGTGTACATTCCTCACGCCGAAGGTATGTGTGTTATTGCCGACGGGAAAAAGAATGACATCTGGAGCATTTTATAGTTCAATTAAGCATTATACAATGAAATGTCACGTCATTCATAGCATACTTTGCAAGCCATACGCCACTGATATTAATGTATACGATTCTACGGAGATGGGGTTTGTCGGTTATTTGTTCCAAAAGGGGAATAGCGATTACGATTGTATTTCCCTCACATACACTGCCATGTATTGCATTCCCTCACATACACTGACATGTATTGTATTCCCTCACATACACCGACATGTATTGTATTTTACTCACATACACTGACATGTATTGTATTTAACTCACATACACTGACATGTATTGTTTTCCCTCACATACACCGACACGTATTGCATTCCCTCACATACACTGACATGTATTGTATTTTACTCACATACACCGACATGTATTGTATTCCATCACATACACTGACATGTATTGTATTTTACTCACATACACTGACATGTATTGCATTCCCTCACATACACTGCCATGTATTGTATTCACTCACATACACAGACATGTATTGTATTCCCTCACATACACCGACATGTATTGTATTCCCTCACATACACCGACATGTATTGTACTTTACTCACATACACTGACATGTATTATATTTTCCTCACATACACCGACATGTATTGCATTCCCTCACATACACTGACATGTATTATATTTTACTCACATACACTGACATGTATTGTATTTAACTCACATACCTGGTACATCGACATGTATTGTATTCCCTCACATACACCGACATGTAATGTATTTTACTCACATACACTGACATGTATTATATTTTACTCACATACACCGACATGTATTGCATTCCCTCACATACACTGACATGTATTATATTTTACTCACCTACACCGACATGTATTGCATTCCCTAACATACACTGACATGTATTGTATTTTACTCACATACACCGACATGTATTGTACTTTACTCACATACCCTGACATGTATTATATTTTACTCACCTACACCGACATGTATTGCATTCCCTCACATACACTGACATGTATTGTATTCCCTCACATACACTGACATGTATTATATTTTACTCCGATACACCGACATGTATTGTATTCCCTCACATACACCGACATGTATTGTATTCCCTCACATACACTGACATGTATCGCATTCCCTAACATACACTGACATGTATTGTATTTTACTCACATACACTGACATGTATTGGATTCCCTCACATACACTGACATGTATTATATTTTACTCCGATACACCGCCATGTATTGTATTCCCTCACATACACTGGCATGTAATGTATTTTACTCACATACACTGCCATGTATTGGATTCCCTCACATACACTGACATGTAATGTATTTTACTCACATACACTGCCATGTATTGGATTCCCTCACATACACCGACATGAATTATATTTTACTCACATACACTGACATGTATCGCATTCCCTAACGTACACTGACATGTATTGTATTCCATCAGATACACCGACATGTATTGTATTACCTCACATACACTGACATGTAATGTATTTTACTCACATACACTGACATGTATTGTTTTCCCTAAAATAAAGCGAGGTGTATTGTATTCCCGCACATACACCGACATGTATTGTATTTCCTCACATACACTGACATGTATCACATTCCCTAACATACACTGACATGTATTGTATTCCCTCACATACACTGACATGTAATGTATTTTACTCACATACACTGCCATGTATTGTATTCCCTCACATACACTGACATGTATTGTTTTCCCTCACATACACCGACATGTATTGTATTCCCTCACATACACTGACATGTAATGTATTTTACTCACATACACTGACATGTATTGTATTTTACTCACATACACTGATATTTATTTTGGTGGGAACCAATTTGTCTCCCTATAATAACATTAATGCATGTTTATATTGTTTTGGGGTACACGCGCGCCACCTACTCAAATGTACGTGTAAATACTATCCCTGTCTATTAAATCATACATCATTGACGTGTAGTGTAGACTTTCTTAGTAAGCTGATCACAACAAATATATAGCTGATTCAACGTCTATATAGCTAGCTAAAGTGCCAAAAATGGAACACTTTTTTAAAGAAAAATATTAATTTATTTTCTATTTAGTTTCTGGAACACCACTTTTATTTTCTATAAATGCCTGTAGATAGCTTTATTTTTATTGTTTCGATCTTGGGTATCATTATGGACTTAGATACTCTAATTCTGTGGTATGTACCAAGGCGAGTATCTATATTTATTGAGACTGAAATTTACTTGGAAATTTTAGTTTTCCGTGTATCTAAAATGGGACACTTTATCATAAATAATATGTCTGACCTTATCATATAAATCAGATGAAAATAACTGACAGCAATTTAAATATTTTGTCTATATCATTCATTTGTATTTGGCCATATTAGGTATACCCTCACGTTACATTTGGTGTATGTTATCGCCGATGTGTAATATTAGATATATCTATAGACTCTACAGTTCTTACTTTAATGGTGTGTCTTGATAAAAAAAAGTGTATCATAATGTGTATATCTAATTTCTTTCTATGAGTTTATATTTTATAATCATATAATATTAATTGTACTTAAAATTAAATGCAATCTGATTAAAATCATATCCTGCGTTCTCTACGTAACACGTTAGGATCTAACGTGATACATAGAGAACGTGTACTTATAGGATTTTAATCAGATTGCATTTAATGAAACTCTTCAATCCATGATTGGGATATAGTAAAACGTCTCACTCCTCTTTAATGTTTTATCAAGACTCATATATAAGGTAAATATTGTGCGAATAAAACTGTAATGTTTACGGTTCAATCAATATGATTATCGTCATTTCTATGTGGATTTTGCCCAGTTGTTTACTTTAAACGATTTCATCAATGTTTACATTTTGCACTGCAGTGTAAAGGGCAAATACCGAAAAGTTCCGAATACTTGAGCTCTGCGCATGTCGTGTGTATAATGAGAGAATAATGGCGGAGAAAGTAGGGAAGACGAGTGCCGTTGGCACTAAATCCATGCCCATGAAATTATTTGCAACATGGGAAGTGGAAAAAACGTCGCCAAACTGTATCCCAAGGTTGGTATGATATCTTGTTCTGGTTGTTGTGCATGCAACATTTCCAAATAACTCCATCACAGCGAATGTCATCGGGTGCATGAAGCTGATTCATCTATATGATAAACTTGACTGAAGAAATCTTAAATAAGCATCGTTTCATCACACATCTCAGTCATATATACTGCTGGATCTATAGTATTATTTTGACTGTAACGGTTATTCATAACCTAGGAACATTGTACCGTCATGTATGCCTTCGCAGATTATACTTGCAGACGTCTTGTAGTAATTTTGTGTGAAGGGTAATACAAGTTTGACAGGTGTGGTGTGTACATGTATTGACTATTTAAGCTAGTTACTCATTATTACATAATGGAGTTATTTAAACACGGAGTCCTCAATATGGACGAAATCCAAATACAAGGTTATCTATAGACTGCATTTCTTAACCATTAGATAAGTAATAATAATAAATTCTTAGAATTAAACCTTTTATTCAGTAATTCCCTTGGGTTTAAAATTAAATTAGCAAGATAATTTTTCTCATGTATTTCATGAAAAGGGGCTACCAGGTATTAAAAATGGGTGATAGTATAACATACTCATCATTATAGAGTGAATTGAAACTGCGAGTACTAGATCACACACCTATCATATATATCTATAGCAATAGTAGGTGAATGTTGTCTGAAGTTGACCGAAGTAAATAGACAAATCAGCATTGTTTAGTAATCAAGTTGTAAACCGTTCGACCAATCTCCCTTTCCACATGGTTGATGCTCCCTCCATGTAATCCTTTAAAACTAGACTCACCACAGTGATAGATACTAACTTGTTTTGTCAGGTGGCCAGCAGGACCACCAGATTTTTGTTCAGGTGGTCCTTCTCAATTTCAAGTGGTTCTTCCAAGATATGAGAAATAACAATACAAAATCTACAGTGATCATCCCAGGTGTTTGTTATTTCATTTTTATTGCATAATATCAAGCAAAAGCTTGAACTGCTTTTGCTGAAGTGCGATCAAGTTATGTCTTGGCATTCTTTCATCCTCATCAGAGTCATTTTCATCTCCAACATCTGTGCTACTGTAAGGCATGACCTCCTGATCTACATCATCTGCAGCAGCTTCCTATATGGAAATGCATTGCCATATCAAGCTCCTGTGCTCCTCCTTCATCTAATAGTACAGTGTCCCTTGGCAATGTAAGATTGCTTTTCGGTAATGTGAAAAACCAGTTTGTCAGTTTTGTCTACATGTGACCAGATAGCCAATTTTGCAAGGAAGTAATAGCTTCAGTCAGATATTGCTACAGTCTGCATTTTCCCATTTGTAATATGATGATAAAATAAGCAATCAGAATTACCTTCATGTTATCCATGTAAAATGGATGTCTTGTCCTTTCCCCTTCTCCAAACCACAACTGTACTGCTGGCATGGGGTCATATTCCTGGACCTCTGCTGTCTCCAATGTTATCAACATCAAGTCAGAGATTGCTGGCTTTAGTCTGGATCGCCAGTCCGTCTTGACTAGTTTCATACTAAAAAAAATGTTGTCTCATGTTATTGTAACACATTATTTTACAGACAGTTAGTACTTACAATATAATTATGTTGCTTTTTTTTATTTCAACAAACCAGAGAAACTGAAGTTTATTACAGGGTGACTGAGGATCAATATTTTTTAAATGTGACACTAATTGAGTAATTGTCAAACAGATATGCCATGTATATGAACAAAGCAAACTTTCTTATTTTAATCAATAATTAAATACCATAAAAATCCCCTCTCAGCATCAACTGAAGAGCCAGGTAAAGCCAGAAGAAAGTTAAATAGGAGGAACAAGTTTGGGTACTTGCTCCCAAACATCTCATGCATCCAGTCTCTTCAGGGTCAACTGAGAGTTAATCTGTGAAAACAAGTACATGTAGGATAATGCAAATGGAAATTGACTTCTCTGAAATGTAATTAATAACTGTTTCATTCTAGAAAAAAATAATAACTTGGCTTATCAATTTAACCATTTTAGTGGGAAGACAAGTACCATATTTTTCATAGATGAATTCTTATTTATTTTTGTTTTACTAGGTTAGGTTCCATCAAGTTAATATTTCAAAAAATACCTGGATGCTAATTCTGTCTTTAACCTTAGCCATTCTGAACACATGTCAACAAGGCTATGGATATGCTCATCACCAAAAGCTGTACTTAACACATCTGCAATGTTATTTAATTCATTCAATTTAAAACTGCTATTGGTTATTTTACCAAGAGTTAGACTTAAGTATGTACGATTAGAAAGTCAGTAACGTATAAGCAGAGATTAATAAAGCATACTACAACCACAGAGTTGAGAATATTGAAGATGCCTTGTTGGTCATGAGTAATGTCTTTTGTGCCTCTGATGTACTTGTTCCTTTTTTTGCATCCTCATACTGTACAGTAACTTTATGTTGTTCACTAAGGTCATGTTTTTTGATTGGATCATTAAAATGCACTGTACCTGCTATGAAGGGCATAAGGTACAGTGCATCAAATTTGACGTCTCATCGTACGCTAACCACTTGAAAGTAATCATCCAGCTTTGCTGAAATGACCTCTCCCTCTTGTTTTTGTCATATATGTACATTTTGACTTTTCATCAGGATTTTTTTGGTGTTTTTTTTCCGGAGGAGTAGCTCCATCAAGCCAGCGCCACATTTTCAATAGACGACTCGACACTGACTCGGTCTTACCCGAGCGCTTAAGTTATCATCTTTCATTTTTACTTTCCCTGCATTAGAGAGTTCCGATAACGTAATAAAATCAAGTCGAAAAACAAAACAACAAAACAAAATTAATGAATAGGAAGACGGCCAAGACTGGTAAATACAATGATTAGACCCCCAATATTTTGAAATTGCAAGTGAGGAGACCAACAGAAGATTTATTTTGGGTGATCCAATGCACCACCACTCAAGGACATCTCGGTGGTCCTTCCAATTTTATTATGGCCTCAGGCCACAGGACCACCGCTAGTATCGATCCCTGTCAACAAACACTGGTAAAACCAAGTTTGTGCAAATTAGTTTCCTCTAGTTTATGATATTCTCAGAGTTCTCCCCAGAATTTTTTTAAGCTGATATGTTTCATGATGAAATGGGTTAAACTATCTCTCACAGCTATTACTTCAGCTTACCGAAGAGCTTTCGTCCTGACTACGCTGGGACTTGATCACTTCTGATGTGATAACACTTCAGAACTTGAAAACGATGCGCTATTGGTCACATGACTCATAATCAGAGGTCATGTGACCGAGGGGTCACCTGCTTCAATAGTGCACCGTAGATGGTCTGCAGCTCGTGTCGTCCCTGGTCACTGTTGAGGGAGTCCATGGTGGTGCGGATGTGTATGGCCTCCCCGACTCCTCTCCTGAACCAGTCAGCCTCCCTATCCAAGTCAATCTTGTGCCAGGGATTTCTGGCATGTTCCGCATTCAGGGATGTGCTTCATTTTCAACGGACGTTCAAGACGGACACAGCACTGTAGCATGCTCAACAATATATACCATATCAAATTTAGGGAGAGAGGTCATAATGTACATATGTTAGTGGTAGCAGAATGTCAGACGCCTTAACCACTTGGCCACCGCGGCCCCCATATTTCCTTTACACATTACAATATATTGTATTAGATGTGTAATTATGTACATGTTCATTGTATGTATAATTTATTAGGAACAGATTTATACAATATGTTGTCAGTTAAAGGGTCTTACTTACTTCCATACCACCTTTTTCATCAATATGTTGTATGAATGAAAATAACAAATATTAGGGGTGTCACAATATGCCAAGAGTGTATCACGATATATTACAATACAGAATAAATAGATTTTGATACATATCCTGATATATTGTCATAGGAAGGAGTGCTCAATTTTGTAATAAGTTGTTGTCAGAATGTTATTAAACTTAATCATATATAATATGGATTATATAGATTTCAGATTTTTGTCAAACCAACCATCGATTACAAAATTTGAACTATTAAAAGCCTGCTTTATGCTTATTGGCATATCTGTTAGAATTTGTAGTAATTTGCAAAGTTAAATCACCAAGCAGATACATCAAAATATGCTTTTGAAAAATATTGCAATACAGCAATATTTTATCTCTGTATTGTGGTACGATACGATATACCTGTATATTGGGATAAACCTGTTTTCTGATATACATGTATGTATTGTGACAGCCCCACCAAATATATATGCATCTTGCCAAAAATGTTTTACTGGTATGTCCATTGCATTGCTGACATGAAAACACATTGTTTTTGTCTTTTTCAGATTATGTTCCCTCACACTAAACCGTCTCATTGTGCTAAAGCCCCTGGAAAGTGAAAACCATTCATTAATTATAGCTGTCAAAATGCAGGTAAGACTTTCATCATTATAACAAAACTGATGAGAAATACTATTAAATAAAGCTAAACTGAAACGTGTTGAGTTCTCTTCAAAAAAAAGGTCATTTGTTTGAACAAACTTGTAATCTTCATCCCAGCATGTTACTGGCCAAATATCATCATCCTAGGCCTTTTTGTTTACTGAGAAGAAATTGTTTAAAGGTTTTAAACATATTTGACCCCATGTGACCTTGAAAATGGGTAAAGGTCATTTGTTTGAACAAACTTGGTAGCCCTTCATCCCAGCATGCTCCTGGCCAAATATCATCATCCAAGACCGTTTGGTTATTCAGAAGAAGTCGTTTAAAGATTTTAACAATTTGACCCCTGTGACCTTAAAAATGGGCGAAGGTTCATTTGAACACACTTGGTAGTCCTTCCTCCAAGCATACTACTGGCCAAATACCATCACCCTAGGCCTCTTGGTTATTGAGAAGAAATTGTTTAAAGTAAAAAGTTGACACCTGACAGACGGATGGTCACTTGGCCCTTCGATTCGGGCCAGGGGAGCTAAAATTGTGAAATTCAGTCAGATAAAGTTGTGGAATGCTGTCAGATAAACCTTTGGAATGATAACTGGTAAAGCTATGAAATACTATCAGCTAAAGCTTAAAAATCAGACAGAGCTGTGAAATACTATCGGATAAAGCATGAAAATCAGACAGAGCTGTAAAATACTATCAGCTAAAGCTTGAAAATCAGACAGAGCTATGAAATACTATCAG